GGAAACGAATTGGCTTCTCAATGCTAACTCTGTGAAAAGAAAATCATAGCTCCCAACAGTCCCAGATTTAAGAGGACAGTCCCACATTGGGTCCCCTGTTCTGTCTTCCTGACTTTGTTTCCCAGTGTCCTGCTTCTAGATAAGGTACAAACCCCTGAGCTCACAGTGTGAGCATTAGCAGGGCGGACGCTGCATGAATTGAAGTAATTTGGCCAATAGTAGAGATCATTAACAACGCTCTGTGTATTGGTTGCCCTGAGCTGGGCTGGCTAGTGCAGCTGTACCCTCGGCTTGTCGTGCATGCACTCCATATTAACACAGCCCACAGGTACGCCTTCTACTGGCTGTCCTCCTCAGTGGTGATGGTGCCATACCAATGATAACATGTAACACCAAATTCTGGAAACACACCTTGTGACGTGTTAAGTTATGGCATCCAGTTAATAGTTTGTTACTGCTTTACACACAGATCCCGAGATGCAGTGACACTGACAGTAACCTACCTCCACATTTCATGCCGCTGGAATATCAGCCAATAGGTACTTATATAACTACTTATTTAACCTCCCTTGACAGTGATGTGTAGGAGGACCCAACACAAGATGCTTTCATGATTAATACCGCTGGGTTCCAGCAGCAGACGGCCAGAAATCATTCCACTGCCATCAGCTAAAAACCAGCCATATGAGGCCACAGTATCTATACCAGACACTGTAGTACCATATTCTTACAAATACTGCTGGGCAAAGCGCAACTGTCTGAAATTAGAACACATTGAATGATTCTAAGGACCTATCGTGCCCTGTGTCAGTCATACAGACTTTGCTCATTTGTTTTTGGCAAACATTAGATTTCTTTCTACCAAACATGTCTCATTTAAATAGTGCAGAGTACCTGAGCACTGACCACGTGCCGCGATGACCCCGCTAACATGACCATGCCTTTAGTTCCCAGATGGCGCACAGCGCTTGGATCTCCACCATACTATGCCATAGTGCAGTTTTGGGATAAGATGGAATCGGAGGATTGCATCTCGGGTGCGCAATGTGAAAGGAACAGAAAACCTGGAACACAAAAAGGTTAATATTTAGAGAAGCGGCTTCTTCTGTGCATACTCCGTGTTATATCACACAAAAAATAAAAAAATATCCTGAAATCCAACGTGAGTCGTGCATAAAGGCAACACAAGAACTTACATAGGTGCAAATCACTCGCGGTACAATGCGGCAAAGTCATGGCGGTCACACAGTAAATTCTAATGACCACAGCTTTCCAACCTCCTATTTCTTTACTAATTATGCACTGTCTGAATTCACTGACAAATTACCAGAGCCTCTTATTCCAATAAAACACTTCTATTCGGGTTAATTCTAATGAATATTTAATTAATACTAGACTTCAGTGTTACTTGGTATGTCTCCTATCATACTTCCTATAGATTGCAAGCTGATGGTTAAACGGCCCATTCGCCTATTTATACCGTATATACCTAAATAGTGTTATCATAATATTTTCCTATTCTAAGTGACTACTAAAATATTGATATTAAATAAGCAAAACCCTTCTACACATTTATTGTCATTAAAATAAGGAGCACAATGTTTTTGTTTTTTTTAACTTGGAATGCATAGCTAGTAACAGAACCAAGGATAAAACAACCATTTTATGCCGGGATTGCGGTTGATCAAATAATGTCAAATTACTAACGTTTATTTATTTGTTTATTATTTCAACTTTGATTGAGGGAAAAAATAAATGGATTACAATACGTATAGTATAATAAATTCCTAAAATTAAACTATGAGACATTCCATATGTTAAAGGGGGGAGGTAGGGGAAACTAAATTTGGCTAACTTTAGGATTGCTTAAAGAGTCATGCGTGGTGGCGGGGCTCCAGCTCCTAGGGGCAAATCTCCGGTGCCACGAGCCCACACAATACCACAATGACATCAAACATACGCTTAACGGAACGGTGACTCCGAGAGCTACCTGGGGATACCAGACATGTGGCACAAAGAATGGGGTCCACCAAAATGCTCCTCAAGGCCTACCAGCATGCCGCTCCCCTGTTGCCTTCAACGGCTTTAATCCTGATAGAGGGTCCTCGTTCCCCCCCCATGGACCGGCGGGGGTCATCCCGGTCCCAGGTGGGCCCCCTGGAGGCTGGGGCAACAGCCCCGACAGAGGCAGGCCTACTCCAATATGGCGGAGAACACAAGCGGGCTACTCGAGACCACACAGGAGACAGACATCCTGGTGCGGCTAGAGGCCACATTTGCAGCGTTCTGGGAGAAATTATATGACCGACTGTGCACTACACAAGTCTCGGTCGCAAAATCGCCCATGACACCATCGTACCGCTGCTGTCCAGCTGGTTCGCCCACCCAGATTAAGCGCGCCAAAACATGGCGCCGAAAACGACGACCTCTCCTGCCGACAGGGACACACAAGCGGAGACGACCTCCAACGATTATTACCCTGCACAAGACAAAGCCAGCCCCACCAAAGCCAGCAACCAAAGAACAACAACCTATGAGAACCGACACAAACCTACTCACCTACTCGAGCAGGGGCCGCACAGCACCGGCAAGTATTCCGGAGAGCCCTGATAGCTGCCAAGTTGGTGGAGGAGCACATCTATGAAACACTCGGACCGCACAGTTGAGAAGGGTGAGCGCTCTTATGAGACACATAGCTGGACAGACACTCCTGAAGGCATATGTTAAAGGGGATTCTCTGGGACATGAGGCCTGGGACACGCAGCCTCCCGTAACGCCACATTAGCGCTCCCTCTCACCCGGGTCTTACACAACCCCACAATGGCTGGAAGCGGGACACCTCTGGAACCCATCTACCTTTAATAACCCATCGACACGGCAGGCTGCAGGGAAAACAGTTGAGAACTGACGCTTGTTATGTGTACCTAAGCACAGTTTTGTCGAATCGTCTTATTAAGGGGTCACAGGATTCTATTTAGAATGCATCACTTGACATTTTTTTTTTTTTTAAATCAGCAAGCAAACACTTTTGAACAAATATACAAGCAAAAATAAAGCAAGACAAGCGTTAAAAAGTATGTACTTAATGTTTATAAACTTACTATAACCTTGGGCAGATTCCATTATTTGGGCATGCCTCTCAGCTAGAAGAGTTTCTTCAACCTTCCCTCCCCCTTGGGTGCCATCTGAGTTTTAGACCAGTCCACTGATGTCAAAAACAGGACATCATAGAGCAGCAGCAGGAGATCGAAACTAAACACCAGAGCTTGCGCTGCATGATCCCACTGATCAGATCCCGCTCTTCTCCCGCTGTCAGATGTTGAAGGTAAACAGATCTTCCAACAGCACATGTGTAAATGCCCTGTCAGGCATGCCAAATGCACTTTTCCAGCATTCCTAGGGATAGTACTCTGATTGGTTAGATCCAGGTCCGGACTGGGAATGAAAAGCAGCCCTGGGAATGAATTCTATACCAGCCCCATAATGCATTGCGCCATCATAGTGTGCAGATATGGAAGCGGGAAAAAACCTTAAAACTGAAAACTATCACTCAAACATGAAAGAAAGCGCTCATAGGGCTTCAAAATAAATAAAAGAGCGGATTTGTTGTAAGCAGACGTGCATTTGAATGTGTTATTAATCATTTGAGATGCCTTGCTTTCTAGGAAAAATAATAAATATCCAGATAACTGTTAGGATCCTGGGTGCTTGTTTTACTGTGAATTATCGTTTAAATCAGACGCTTTAACGAGACATGGAATTAAGGTATTTAGCTCGCAATACAATAGCAAAGACACAATACAGAGACTAATCACCCCGTCATATCACAAGCTTCGTTACTAAGCTGGGTAGGTAATATTACAGTAAGGAAATGACTCTTGATCATATACATTTTATATTCATAGTTACTTTTCCAGACTCAGTCTGTTGGTTTAGATCACACAGGGCTCGTATATACATAGCTGCCATCATATCCCCAGGAAAAGATTAAATATTATTTGTAATATTATCATTTACATAGCATCAGCGTATTCTGAGGCATTGTACAATTATACTGATGGAATATAAAAGTGTTATATAGAATATATTACTTTATACAGGGTATAGCATGGTGTATACATTGTATTACCCCAGTGATTGGCTGACACTGTGTGTTATATACAATATATTACTTTATACAGGGTATAGCATGGTGTATACATTGTATTACCCCACTGACTGGCTGACACTGTGTGTTATATACAATATATTACTTTATACAGGGTATAGCATGGTGCATACATTGTATTACCCCAGTGATTGGCTGACACTGTGTGTTATATACAATATATTACTTTATACAGGGTATAGCATGGTGTATACATTGTATTACCCCAGTGACTGGCTGACACTGTGTGTTATATACAATATATTACTTTATACAGGGTATAGCATGGTGTATACATTGTATTACCCCAGTGACTGGCTGACACTGTGTGTTATATACAATATATATCTTTATACAGGGTATAGCATGGTGTATACATTGTATTACCCCAGTGATTGGCTGACACTGTGTGTTATATACAATATATTACTTTATACAGGGTATAGCATGGTGTATACATTGTATTACCCCAGTGATTGGCTGACACTGTGTGTTATATACAATATATTACTTTATACAGGGTATAGCATGGTGCATACATTGTATTACCCCAGTGATTGGCTGACACTGTGTGTTATATACAATATATTACTTTATACAGGGTATAGCATGGTGTATACATTGTATTACCCCAGTGATTGGCTGACACTGTGTGTTATATACAATATATTACTTTATACAGGGTATAGCATGGTGTATACATTGTATTATCCCTGTAAGGGGGTAGGTCCCTGCACTGTCAGGTAGGTAGTGAGGTCACCCCTCTCACTCCCCCCCCCAGTGGCAGAGGGAGGGAAGCACAGGGTGACTGAGATGCTGCAGCTATAGGAAGGGAGGGGGGAGGGGGGGGGGAATGGGAGGTGCTCGCGATATTTGCAGAATATAAATCTCTCTAAGGCTGAGTCTTTCTTCTTCTTCCTGCACTGATTGACCTGAGCTGCTCACACACCATCAGCTGTAAGTAGACATCAACTGCCCCCCCTCCACACTGCATGGGTTAATCCATCCATCCATCCACCTGCCCTGCTCTATGCTGGGGGCCACTCCAAGCTGCCCCTGACACTGTACTCACCCCATAACTGCCCCTGGGAACACAGTACTCACCCCATAACTGCCCCTGGGCACACTATACTCACCCCATAACTGCCCCTGGGTACACTGTACTCACCCCATAACTGCCCCTGGGCACACTATACTCACCCCATCCCTGCCCCTGACACTATACTCACCCCATAACTGCCCCTGGGCACACTATACTTACCCCATAACTGCCCCTGGGAACACTGTACTCACCCCATCCCTGCCCCTGGGCACACTATACTCGCCCCATCCCTGCCCCTGGGCACACTATACTCACCCCATCCCTGCCCCTGACACTATACTCACCCCATAACTGCCCCTGACACTATACTCACCCCATAGCTGCCCCTGGGCACTATACTTACCCCATAACTGCCCTGGGCTGGGCCCTGGCTCACTCTACACCCCTTTCCATTCGTTCCTGGGCACCCTCTATTCTCCCCATGGCACCCTCTCTACTCCCCCATTGCCTCTCTACTACCCCCATTGCACCCTCTGTACTCTCTCCCTGGGCACCCTCTGTACTCTCTCCCTGGGCACCCTCTGTACTCTCTCCCTGGGCACCCTCTGTACTCTCCCTGAGCACCCTTTATTATCCCCACCCCCTGGGGTGCTCCTTGCACCTGCCTGTGCAGACTGTGCATTGGATGAGATATTTTATATTGTACAAAGATCCCTTTGTTGTAGACAGATCCCTGTTGGCTGTCTCATTGTGCAAAGCAGGATCTGATCCCAGTGCATTAATCTGCCATCTCACTGTCTCTTCCAGTCAGTTTTTGTATGTCTCTTCCTGTCTCTTTGTTTCTTGCAGTCTGTCTATTCCAGTTTCTCTCTCTCTCTCTCTCCCAGTGTATCTGTCTCCCAGTTTGTTCCACACAATATTTGTACCAGCCTGCCTGACCCCTTCTTCTCCCAGCCTGCCCCACTTTTCTCCTATGCTGCCTGCCCCCCTCCATTGCTGCCAGGCCCTTCTTTGCTCCCAGTCTGCCCCACTCCCAATTCTCTCTCTCCCCCCCCCACCCCCACTCCCAGTCCTGCTGCTGGGAGTTTCCTGCCCTATCCATGACATGCTCTCCTTTACTTACAGAGATTGGTGACACTGGAGACATCCAGATATTAATCCAAGTGCTGGGGGCAGTGGGGGCCCAACTTTAACCATTTGCATTTTAACTTTAAAACTCAGGTTAACAAGCTGGCAGATCCTTCTAGAATTTGATAATTTCTATTAAAGTTCATCTATCCAAGAAGTGCTAACACTGTTTAGTTCAGAGCAACAAGTAAAAATAAACTGGTCCCCAAGAGGTTCTGCAGGAGCTGAGGTTACTGGTGGTATACCCAGAGTACCCTGCCCTCCCTGTCTGTAGTACTCTTGATATGATGACCGAGATTGGAATAGAATTGTGGAGGCAGAAAGCCAGTTTTCCAGTTAACAGTTTTTAAGAAGTGAAAATGAATGATTAATATATTGTGGCTCCCACTTGGCTTCCCTATTCACAGCGTCTGTGTGAAAATGAATTAAAACCAGTCTTCTAAACGTTTTAAAGATTACCAAGGACGGCGAGTGGCCGTAACTATAAAATAGTGAATATAGAGGTGTAATACTCTCTATACAGTGTATGTAATGATTCTGTAAATTGGGAAATCACTGTAAGGTGGAGTTAGGGGAATTGCTAAGTTACAAGCTATCAAGCTTAGCCAGATCTCTCTTTGTATCTTTAATGATGGCAATATCATTTTAATGTGTGTTGCAATACAGGCGAATTCGAGATAATTAATACTCATTTCTGAATAATGTATGTGGAAATAACGCCCGCAGTTCCTGAATATTAAATCTGTGTATGGAAACAGGATGGTAAACACGCACGGGTTTATTGTAGACTGTACCTAGTCTGGAATTACAAATTAAAGGATAAAATAGATTAACTGGAAAATAAATTCTCAGTGTGTATAATGTAAGCTTTTTTTTGTCTTTAATTTGCATGAGGTTTGAATGTTGTAATCGAAGTGAAACATAAATAAATAAACACAAGCAGAAATTTTCAATCAAAATGTTTATTTAATAACTTTAGTGATACACCTTGGAGAATGGCCGTGGACCTTTATTATGGATTTCATAATTCCTATTAAACCATAACCATATGAATAATAATAAACCATAGCTTTAAAACCAACATATTAAACCACTTTCCAAGGCTCCGCCCCCCTCCAAAGCCAGGAGCCATAAATATCTCTTCAACCAAATCCACCAAATCCACCTGTGATGACCAGGAGGGCGACTTATATCCCAACGCCACCGAGGTTCTGGGCTACCAAACTCGGTGGCCCCCCAACGCCCACGGCCATCTCCAACATGGATTGAATCTCCAAATTAAATATATCCAAACCAATATCCGACAAGTGAACTTCATCGCTCCTATAAAAGCCAGCGCAATTGCCCTCAATATCCCTGTGTCTATATGAGGTCATTCCCAGGGTTGGTAAAAAATTTTCATAATAAAACCATGACAAACCCCCAAAATTTTTATATGCCTCCAAAATAGCTTCTGTATGTTGAAATAGCCCACAGCACAATTCTGGATATTTTTCGCCTAACACGCTAGCATAAATGCAAAAAGCTTGCAGCCAATTATTGAAAGACCTCGGAATAAACTTTTTCCTCTCCTCATCCCCCTTTTCCCTGTCGGGTTTAGTAAATTCTCTGGCTGTGGGCAATAATGATAGAATATCGATATACTCCCCTTTCCATATCCTATCCTTTATAGACTTACTTAAATGAAAACCCAGAGGGGAGCTTTCACAACCTAAAGCTTCTTTCATGCATGTCTCTTTTACTCTAACTTCTTCCCTCACAGAATGTGTCACTTTTGGATTAACTGTGACCACTTCTGTATCAGGCTCCCATACTCTCGCTAATTTAGGTGTCTGCAATAATTTTGTAAGTTTCTCAAGTGAAGACACCACTTCCCCGAAAACAGCATTATTCACATTTGTTTGTAACTCACCCAGCTCATGACTGCAACCTGGGATATCCTGAGCTGCTTCGCTCTCTTCAAATAGCCTAGGTCTGTCCTCAGCCTCTTTATTCTTCTTCTTTTGTTCGTATTTTCTGCCCTGTTTCCACATCCTCTTCCTATTCTTTATTGGAGACGGTGAGAAGGTTTCCCTGGACCTCTTCGTTCTTGCCTCACGAATCCTGCAGGGGTCGCTATCACCAGATTTTCTTTCTTGCACTGGCCCTTTAATTTTTTGAGGGGAATATCCTGCTCCCTCCTCCATTATTAACTCCTCCTGTAGCTCAGCCCCTTCTTCTTCCTCTACTTCAATTAGACCAGAGGTGCTGGGGGCGGACTCTAAGCAAGCCTGTAGCCATGCAGTATCACTGCAGCCTAAAGCCTTTTGTTTAAGCTGTTCTAATAATGCCTCAATTGTGCCAGACATCTCCAAAGGTAAGAAACAGCAGCTTAAATATTTTAATATATAGCTAACCTTCGGATTTGTCTGGCACAATCTGAGGCAATTAATTTGGCGCCCTCCAATTTATATCCCCTATTTTCCCTCCAATATTGCCCTCGCGCTGCTATCTACCAATCAGGGCTCATGCCCTGGTCGCGAGCTTGCCGCCTTTACTGCCAGCACGAGCTGCCTTGTATTTAACCCTAACCTGCATTTAACCCCTAGCGCGAGCGCTATACTTACCCACTTCGCTCCATCAAACCTCATGGGGCTTCTCCTTAAGCAGTCCGCGTGCCCGACAATCCACTCAGTTTACAGGTTTGTGAAATCAAGGCTAGAGATAGGGAACATTGATGGTTATATTTGGGTCCGTGGGGGGGCGGAGCTAGCGAGCTACCCAAGCAGACGCACGAGCACTGAGCTCCGGGAGAAAATCACCTACAAAGAACGAAATCGGCAGTTCCATAAAGCCCAATTGCTACCAACGCGGGCCGGAACATAATGGGACGCAAATCCAAGCAGCTCCACCATGAAGCGATGCTGTCCTCTCAAAATATCGGCGATTTACTCAAAGCAACGCCGCGGCCGCGGCCTGCCAAGATGGCGCCCGCGCGGGAAGCCCCTGATCACTCCTCAGATGACAGTATGGAGGAGGCCGCTGAAGCAAGGAGCACTAGATGGGAGAGTACCCCACCTCCTGAACAAATGCCGGCGAGCAAAGCAGACATCATCCATCTGCTCAAGGAGCTTAAAGCTCAATCAGCAGCAGACGTGGCCCTAATCAGGGAAGATTTGGGTGCCATGTCAGCCCGCATACAGGCTGTGGAGGTGAATGAAGCTGCCACAACAGCCAAAATTGAAACCCTGCAAAGGGAAATGGCCCAAATAAAGAAAACCAGCACTATATTAGAAAATAAAGTGGCTGCACTGGAAGACGCTAAGCGCCAGCGGAACCTCAGGATAAGGGGGATACCAGAGGCTGTGCAAGACTCTGAGGTCGCACACTACCTTCGCCGATTACTAGCCTCTCTGCTATCACAAGCTAAAGCAAAATCCATCTTGCTGGAGTTTCACTTTCGTATACCCAAGCCACCAAGAGCCCCAGCTGACGTCCCACGGGACCTACTTATTCGCTTTCAATCTCTCCGTGGCAAACTACTAGTACAAGAAGCAGCCCGAGAAACTAACACATATGAGTTTGAAGGTTCTGAGCTATCTTTCTATAATGACCTCTCTAGGGCAACAGTCACATGGCGACACTCCATGAAAGAAGTCACCCAACTACTGAGATCCAAGGGGATACAATACAGATGGGGACCAGGGTGCAGACTCTCTGTCAACAATGACGGCAAAAGAGTTCACATCACCCAAGCAAGTGACTCTGTAGCATTTCTACAAACCTTGGGAATATCCCTGGAGGCCACTACAAGCACTACCTCAGCAGCAAAGACATCGGCGAACATGTCCAGGATATGGGACGTCAAGAGAATCCAACCCTTTATCCCACGAACGAGTGGTGCTGCGGCCACCCTTCAGCCGAAAACCTGAATATCGCAAGCACATTATAACTCGGACTGAGTGTCATAGATGTAGGCCCCTTAGGCTATCATCCTCAGACATTACTCTATGTCCGCTCCCACTTTAACAATATTTCTCCAGCGGGCCCGCCGCCCAATAGACCACCCGAGAACCGCATTGCCATGTACCTCCCAGTTTGCTCATACCCCCCCAAAAGGAAGCTATCTCCAACAAGCAAATGTTAATTTTTCTTACTAACTCCATGCAACCACAACTAGAAATCTAATGTATAACTATTTGTATATCATTGTACTTATGCTTTGCCTTGACTGTTATGTTTACCTGCTACCTGTGACACTGTATGCAAAGGTTGCATTTAAAATGTAGCAAAACTATGAGAGATGATAACTATACACATGCTATGCTACAATAAAAAATTATAAATTTATAAAAAAAAAAAATATTTGGGTCCTACGCCGCCCTTCGGTGGGGCTTTTGAAGATATCAATTTTTTTTTATCTCTGCATCACGCAGTCAGGACAGATACAAAATGCTACTTGGGCACAACCCCATGTGACATATTGCATTAAGGGGCTTATTCACCAAGGACGTTTTGTTGGTCTAGGGCGGCTCTAAAGCAGAGGGTCCCAACTGAATTTGGACCAAGAGGCATGTCAATGAGAGTACAATTCTCAAGTCACTCTTGATTTTTTTTGGGTAAAAAAATGTTTTAACCTTCAACCATTACTTCTAAATGTTGTATTTTGTGGCAGCGTTGCTGGAGAGGTATGAATACTTCTAGCTAAATGGATTTTCTGGTTCTAATAGTTTGGCAGATGTGAATTCCAGTTTTAGTTCAGACAGTAAAAGATGCACATTGTAAGGACTACGTTAACCCTGTTACAGCCCTGAAGTTGGCATGTTCATAGCTAATCTTCCGTTTTCTCTGGCTATTGACTGGTGGAATTGTCCACAGAAGTCTCAGTCATGGTTCTGTGTTATAATAAATGACTGGATTTTCTGAATACTCAGTGCTCCCATATAAGAGAAGACCTTGGCAAGTCTGTTGGGTTTTACCTTCAGCCTGTATAAGCTTTGAAAAACTGGAAAGACGTGCGTTTCTTGTAAATATTACCAGCTAGAGCAGAATTTGCCGTTCCGTGGTTTAAATAAGTGTAACTCTGTATCTTTGCACTGACAGGGCTGTGTTTGTATTATTACAGTGTGACTGAGGTCCCCAATTAAACCCCCCCCCGGGCCAGTATGTTTGGCATTGATCATACATTACAAACCTAGTCCCAGGTCAAATGAAACCATGCAGCGTTTTCAGTCTTAACCTCCACAATTTGCTCAGGGGAGCCGGTCAGGAAAGGGGGGAGGGGGGGACCACCAGGAAAGTTTGCCACCTCTTTCATTAGGAGTTAAAGGAACGCAATAAACCCGATAACTAACTGAAGATATAATCGTATGGATACCTCCGCTGGATTGAGCCGTTTGGAAGAGGCCAATGTCTGGTTCTGAGCCCAATGGAAGCCCATTGCTTTATTTATAAAAACAAACAAAAAACACGATTTACAAGCAATTAATTAAAGTGAATTTCAAATGTGCGCCCAAAATAGGTGACCTCAAAATATTCTCCAAGTCGGCTATCCTTCGAACTAGACTACTTTGCCGTAAATTTGATATTCTCGATAAATTCCTTAACTCATTTTCGTGAATAATCCTGATTGTGTTTTTAAATGTTTCCTCGTTACATGTTGAATTACCCGCATTGTGTACTTTAAACTTGCCACAGAACTCACCTGATCTTTTACGGACTGCTTATCTTCATAAATATTTCAGATATCCTGACGTGCGTAGATTAGTGGTTATAGTTGATACTTGGATACCTTCGCAGATTTATTATCTTAAATGGCTATTTTTTTTGTTGGTTTTTTTTTTAAATCATTACTTTTGTTAGGCAGGGTTTTTAAGCTGTGATAGTTTATGGGACTTTGCTTGTCTTGTCTAGAGAATGTATCAATAAGGATGGCAAGCAAACATAATTCTTGCTTCTGAATGCCACCATTGCAGGGATCTGATCTATGGCAGATGTATCTCAGCCAATCACTGGGCTCACAAAGCATCCTAGGATAGAACTCCATAGAAAAATGTCGCCCTGCAGTATCTTGTTCCAATTTCAGAATCTAATTTATGTATCTAGCTATTTGAAGAAATTAGTGAGAATTTAGCATTTGATGCCGGTACCCTACCTAAGTTGGATGAATATAGGGGGGTTAGAGATCAAGTGCTACCCTAATACAAAATCTGTATTTATGATAACACTACTTTATTTTTTTGGGTTGAAGTAATCTATTACTTGAAGTGCTATAACCCTATTCCCTATAGATCATTTCTCTGCTTACGGAGAAACCTGCCATGTATTTGTGCCTTGTCTTGATGCATCTGAAAGATGCTGTGGTTCATGCATGAAACCTGTGTCCTGCTGTGTCATGGTGAGCAGACAGCACTGAGTCACAGGATGGAGCGAGGAACGTGATCTGTGGCTGAATGTAATATAACCGTGTCTTTACATTCTGCATTGAGTAGGAGAAATATTAATTTTATCAAACCTTCTTGCTACACTACTAGAGCAACTCACCCATAACTTGCCGCAGAGTGAGTTCTCTTTTAGAAAAGACAGTATCTTTTTGGGACCCTTAACCAAGAGCACCTTGAAATGTGACTATCACAGAGCTCCACTGCAATAAACCTCACAGTAATGTACAGTGTGACTGTATCACAGAGCTCCACAGCAATAAAACTCTCAGTAATGTACAGTGTGACTGTATCACAGAGCTCCACAGCAATAAAACTCTCAGTAATGTACAGTGTGACTGTATCACAGAGCTCCACAGCAATAAAACTCTCAGTAATGTACAGTGTGACTGTAATCACAGAGCTCCACAGCAATAAAACTCTCAGTAATGTACAGTGTGACTGTATCACAGAGCCCCACAGCAATAAAACTCTCAGTAATGTACAGTGTGACTGTATCACAGAGATACACTGCAATAAAACTCTCAGTAATGTACAGTGTGACTGTATCACAGAGCTCCACAGCAATAAAACTCACTGTAATGTACAGTGTGACTGTATCACAGAGCTTCACTGCAATAAAACTCACTGTAATGTACAGTGTGACTGTATCACAGAGCTTCACTGCAATAAAACTCACTGTAATGTTTTAATTGCAGCCAATGTGTGTTTTAGAAGTCTCTGTGTAAAGTGGTTTTTCTAAATGACTTTACCAAACACTTAAATATTGAGTCATGGCGTTGGTTTAAATATTCTTGGCATTGCGCTGGTTCCGCTTGGTGCTCCTAAAACAAAACCGCACATTCTGGGATAGAATATTCCACATTTCATTTCTTTACAGCTGAACTTTGCTATCTGATGTCACTGATTGTGCCCCATCACCTTTCCATCCTTGCGTGATAATTAGGTTATTCCCTCTAGATTGCAAGTTCATGGCTTTCGTGATTGGTACGTTGCAGGGAGTTGAATCCCAAGGGCCGGTTATCTTCCCCTTCTGTATCAGTGTGTCTAATTAAATATCCCCAGTCTGTACAATTACCAGTGCTCTCTGCATCAGTTGTAAAACGCTCTGGTTAAGAGCACTATATAAGAAGAACTGTTAAATCAATAGTTTGGCCGTTTAATACAGACATTCCTCTGTAATAAAGCTATAAATTCTACATGCCAGTGTGCGATACGGCTGGCTGAAGTTTGTGTGAGTTCTAAACCATACCAGAAACCTGTCCTTGTCTGGTCACTCCGTGATCTTGGTATGTTTTATTCCATTTTTTATTTTTTTGTATTGATGATGCAAACATGGGGCGCACTCTGACATTCAGAATATAGAGATAAAGATCTGTCGGAATAACGACCCAGTCTGCAGAGAGGTTCGTGATTTTTGTCAAAATGCAGACTGCAACAAACATTGTTTATTCAGCTCGTTTTGTGCATCCCATCCTCGGGAAGATAACTTAAAGCGCCCTTTGGAATGAAAGCGCTTTTTTTGAAGTAGATGCTTTTGAGCTTTGACTGCTAGTTAAAGTTAATTAATTACTTGAAGTGATAAATACCACCCAGAGTACGGGAATCCTCTGTCAACTCCTTATAACTGCCTGGCACAGACCTCTTAAATGTGTCTGGTACCCCGTAGCTTAGCTGGCATTTTTGGCCCAGGGTAAATTCAAACCATGTCCCAAAGAGAAAGCTACATTGGGGGTTTATTCACTAAATGGTAAAATGTGGGCAGATTTAGCAAACTCATCAGCTTTTTATTAGCAATGCCGCCTGCCCGCCTCCAATATTTTTCATGTTTTGTGACTCACTATAGTAAATAATATTATAGCCTTTAACTCTGAATCTCAGCAGCTGACGTGCAGATATCCGTATATTTTGTTTGTGCGTTTAATCGTCTCCTTCTGTTTTTTACAGACATTAATTTTGAAACTTTCTAAGAGGGAAAAAAAAAATCTTAATATAACTGGAATAAAATTAATTTCTTGCTAATTAAGCGGAACCGGTCAGGGTATTTGCTAAAAGTGTGAATTTTTACTAATTTCAAGTGGATTTCAAGTTTTTAGGCCAAGATATCCACATTGGAAAAATTCTCCAAATTATTTAGATTTGGCGATTTTACTGTAAAATATGAAATTCCTTTGAATTCTCAACAATGCCGACTTGAGTGAATAACTGCAGGTTTTCGAAATGAACTGCTGAGAAAAGCTAAAGTGTTTGATATTTTTGATAAAGTAGAGTTGTTACTTTAGTGCTTTGTAGGTAGATTAGAGATAGCCACACTGCAAAGTCAATGGCCATGTTAAACTGTCACTCCAGCAATTCACACACTCCTATCTGTTTCTGCAAAGGGGTTTATTCAAGAAACTATCATTATTTTGTGAAAAGCCTAATCCTTGTCATGCTGTCTGTCCGTTGCCATTGATCCTGGCATACAATACTAAGAGCATAATGCAGGAGGGTCCCCTACTTCATGTCTAGCAGGTCCTAACGGGCTAATTTGGCTCAGGAATGGTTTCCCCTCCACTGCTGATCAGCCCTCCAGGCCTGTGGCATACCTCATTTGGGGGCACAGTTTGCTTACCACTGGTATGCAGGTGTCTTTTTTTACTGAGCTAACACCCTATTTCCCTAGGTAATGTCTCTGACCAGGTAAATGTTGCTAAATGGTCTAAAAGTCTTTCTCTTTTAGACTTCTATTTTGAAACTATTTTTGGACGCCGTGAAACCTGTTTGACTCTCAGGGTGCCGCAGCCTGTACACACATCATGCCAAAGGTTGATGGAATTGAGAGTCTGACCCTGGTTGGATTAGGGTGTGGTATGATCCCTGCAATCATGTTTTATGATTAACACACAAATAAGTCATATTCAAGTTGGAACTTGAAACCACAAGCCAGTTAAATAAAATGACTTCATGCAGGTACCCAGCTAATACTGGTCCATCTTCGTAAATATTACTGTACGTTATGGGTGAGCTGGTCAAGAGTACGATTGCAACTCCCTTTTCCATGTCACATGTTGTGGACTTAGGCTGAGAATGATGGTAGTTGCACTGCTAGGTTGATTGATGGATGGGGGCATACTGCTCAAATTCCCTTTGGATTGTTGCTCTGGAAGTAAAAAGATGAGAGATGGAGGCCTACTATTTTCCAATTATACCAGAGAGGCATAATGAGTGGGGTTTATTGTATAAAAAAATGTGCAAAATTTAGACACATTTTCAAGCCCTTGTATAGTCCCAGCCTTTGCAAATGTTTCCATTTTCTACAACTTGCTGTTAATAAACCCCCAATGTATCTGACAACACATTTAAATGTATTATGAAAAATTTTGCGCTGTCACGCCGTGAGTTCCAATTTAACATTACAACTTTCAAACTGTGAACCATGGCTTGAATAAACCCCTAGATCTGCCCCCATGAAACGTAGGAACCCCAGAGCCTTGTGTGTATTGTTACACCTGTCTATTGTACAGTCTGTTAACATTGTATTTGGTGAAATAAACCTGCAGCCCTATAGTGTCTATGTGTGCTTCGCTGTTGTTTCTGAATTACCTTGTGACATGGCTGTGCATTTTGGGATATACAGTTCAGAAACCCCTGATGTTCCAAAGTTAGCATCACAACCTGTAGCGGAATAGACATTTGTAAGCTACTTTTTACTGCCCTATATTTGCTGTCCGTATCTTACCCCCCTGTTTTGTATGTTTTGCTGGTTATTTCGTGTGGTTCTTCTTTGGCTGTTCAGGAGACTTCATACGAACGAAATCCATTCGTCTCCCGAACAAGGAACACCCCCGTACCCCATTAGAACGTTAACACCAACCACTTAAGTGCGAAACCGCAAGGAAAACCATTAATGAGTGCTTCTCCTGGGTGGCCGCCATTTCGTATAACCGAACACGTGGCTAGGAGAATGGCAGCCATTTTGTCTCCCGAACGAGGGCAGCGGTACTTGATCGTTGAGTGCCTGTAACTATTTTTGGCTTGGCACTCGCACGAACACTGGTAAACTGTCGGCTGCTGCCCGTTCCTGTTCTCGACCACCTACAAGAACAGTGTTTAGGAGATCAAAAATACGGAACAGGGGGAGCATTCATATCGTTAAAGAGATTCCCTTGTATGGTTTTCGCACAGGAACCTCACGAACAGAGAACGGTAAGGGCACCTATTCTCCTGGAACTATTTTCGGCTACCACATCGTGTCTGGTCGGTCAAATCTTCCACGCGATGCCATTCCTGTTCTAGGGAACTGATCTGAGTGATTTTTGTATATGTTGGTCACTCAGATCAGGGAATGTACTTTTTGTGGGGTTCCTATGTATGGTTGGGGGACTTTTGGGATACGGGATATTTTGGGGATTTTGTGTACTTGAGAGAGAATTAAATTGGAGGAGTTTACTCTGGCAATTTATCTCCTAGGCACAAGGGATCTTGGGACTGAAACCCTTGCATGGGAGATGGCATAAAAGCAGTGTATGTGTGAATAAAAATTAGTTATTCCCCAGAGCGGAGTTACGTCCGGTTGCTGGGGATGAAGTGGGAGATTCCTGGATTATTTTACAATGTCTGACTGTTCCATTGGAGTGTTTTACTTGTTCCAGAGTATATCTTGGAGTACATGGTGGAGGAGAGTACCTGCTAGGACCAGGCAACCCTTTTTTACAATCATTGTGGTGATTAGATATTTTTTGTGTGTGGTTTATTCAAAAAAAATGTGTTTTTTTTTTTTTTTTCTGTAGACACAATGTCTTCTGGAAATGCAAAGATCGGCAAACCTGCTCCGGATTTTAAAGCCAATGCAGTGATGCCAGATGGACAGTTTAAGGATGTGAAACTCTCAGACTACAAAGGTTTGTATTTTCCTAACCTGACGCTTTCCTGCATCCAGTACAGTAAAATTAGCCTTATTACACGTCCCAGCTAGGGATTTCTAAGAATCACTGCTTTTCCCAGTGGAGGACAGGTTGTCTGTACTACTGGTAGTCCTCAACCCAGCAGTATCCAAGGCACTAAAACCGTGCTGGTCTTATCAATATTGCGACTGGAACAGAGCTGTCTGAATCCTGGACTGTTCATATGCTTTGATCCCTGGGCTGGAAAATTCTGCGCTAAGTAAATTGAGCACTAGACATGTGCAATTCGTTTCGGTCCGAATATGAATTCTGACGAATTTCGGGAAATTCTGACATTCGGGTACATCCGAATGTCCGAATTCCCGAGGTCCAGACGTTCGGAAATTGTCGAAGTTCCGAAGCACAGTATTGCCTAAGTACTAATATACTTACCCAGTGAAAGAAGAAGAATGTTACATTGTATACAAACATAGCCAGGTTTCAGCTGTAAGCATTTGCAACACTTACAACAATCAAGTAACATACATTCATCAAAAATGTAAGTTACTTGGCCAGTCAATGTAATGACAGGAATGAATAAGTAGATAACTCCCTAATTCCCACGGTATTAGGGAGCTATCTACTAAAATTCTAAAAGACCTAAATTGGTCTTTCAGCCAAATTTACTAATACTAAGTAAAGATTACCTGAGCGGTGGGTGGGGGCCCTAAATTATAATAGGGGGGGGGGACCTAATGTCCTCCCCCCTGGCCCCCACCCCTGAGCGGTGAGTGGGTGTGGGCCCTAAATACTAATAAGGGGGGGGACACCTAATTTAGAATAAGGGGGGAACCTAATTTCTCCCCCCCCACCACTGAGCGGCGGGTGGGGGCCCTAAATAATAATAATAAGGGGGGGACCTAATGGCCTCCCCCCTGAGTGGCGGGTGGGGCCCTAAAAAAAAAACATCTTTCTTCCCTCGTGACTAGGTGTCCCCAGACACCTAGTCATCTCTCACCCCCTTTTTTTTATCTCCCCTAACTACCCCCCTCACCCTAAAAATGTGGGGGGACCTTTAACTAAGTACCTGTAAAAAATAAAAATAAATCTTACCATTTGATGTTTTCTTTCTTTGAAAATCTTATTTTTTCAGCCCCAAAAAAGGCCAAAGAAAAAGCCATAATAACCGACGCACCTTGCCCATCCTACATTTACCTGTCACAGCACTCTGGTTGGTTTGAAATTCACCAATCAGAGTGCTCTGTGTCAAGTTCCAAAGAACTTTCCCACGCTGTGTAAAATGACACAGCGCACTCTGATTTGGTGGATTTCAAACCAACCAATCAGAGTGCTGTAACAGGTAAATGTAGAGACTTACCGGTCAGTCTCTTCATTTACCTGTCAGAGCACTCTGGTGGGTTTAAGCCATCCAATCAGAGTGCTCTGAGCCTAATTGCAGGGCATTTATAAGCTTTCCCGTGCCCTGCAGAGCTCAGTCTGCAACGAGCCCTCCATGGGTGAAGATGGATTTTTTTTTTTTTGCGCTCGTGTATTTATTTTGTTTTTTAATTGAGTTGGTTATTATGGTTTTTTATTTGGCCTTTTTTGGGGCTGAAAAAATATTTTAGAAGAAAGAAAACATCAAATGGTAAGTTTTATTTACTTTTTAAAAATTTTTTTTACAGGTACTTAGTTAAAGGTCCCCCCTCATTATTCTTAGGGTGAGTGGGGGTAGGTAGGGAAATAATTTTTAGGTTTTCCCGCCCCCACCCACCGCTCAGGGGGGAGGACATTAGGTGTCCCCCTATTTTACTGTAGGGCCCCCACCCACCGCTCAGGGTTGGGGGCTGGGAGGAGGACATTTTACTTTATGGAGGGGGGACCCTATTTTTTTTTAATTTATTTTTTTAACAGTGAGCAGCCACAGGCGGTATAGCGAGTAAGCGGCTGCAAGAGAAGTGCCGAATTGCCAAAGTCCCGAATTTCGGAATGCCGAACCGAAAATTTTCCCCATGCACATGCCTATTGAGCACCTCTACATTTATTTAAGTAAACCATGAACAGGCTGTCCATCTTTGTTATGACTGTTTGTTTTTAAGGGGCTTCCTTTATGTAAACTGTTTGCCGGCCCCAGTTTATTGAGAATTCTCTTATTACATCTCAGACTCCTGTTTGTTGGCAATACCAGTGGCTTCCTAGTCATGTACCTTCTCTTGTATTTTATAAACTCTTACAGGAAAGTATGTGGTGTTCTTCTTCTACCCCCTGGATTTCACCTTTGTCTGCCCTACGGAAATCATTGCTTTCAGTGACCGCGTGGAGGACTTCAGGAAACTCGATTGTGAAGTTATTGCTGCCTCCGTGGACTCCCATTTCTGCCACTTGGCTTGGTAAGTCCATCTCTCTGTATGAGGGGTACTGCCAGGTAACCGGCTGGCTAGCACAGTATATAGAAAACCTTTTATGTAATGTTTTGTGCTGCAACGCGCACATTGAGGTCTGAACTTTATTTTTAATTTAAAAAACGTCCAATGGATAATTTAAGGGTTACGATGAGCTCTAAAATCCCTTTACTTGGTTGTGGTGTAAGGACCCTGTTTTTGATGCTGTACATGGGCGTAGGAACCCCAAAAAATCTGGGGGTTAGCGTTTTTACTCGCCGGGTATATTCTTATTCCTTAAACTAGGAGTTGTTTATCACATTGTACAGCGCTACGGAATTTGCTGGCGCTATATAAATTATAAAATAATAACATTAAAGGGTCACTACAGGGAAGGGATTTTACTTACCCGGATACAGCGCCGGGATCCTCCTGATGCCACGCCTCCTATTTCGTCAAAATGACTTAATAGGAGGGTGCGAGCAGGGAGCAATAAAACGCTTCTATTCAGAAGCGTCATTGCTCTCTGGTGCGCATGCACAGCTTTGCCGCACATGTGCAGATACTTCATAGGGCGGCATTCATGTCTCGACTAGGAAGCACCTCTAGTGGCCATCTGAGTGTCCACTAGAGGTATTCCTCAGCAGTAATGTAAATACTGCCTTTTTACAAAATGTCAGTGCTTACATTAAAAAGCCTGCAAAGACATGCTATAGACACCAGAACTACTACGTTTAGCTGTTGTGGTTCTGGTGACTATAGTGTCCCTTGAATATAGAGAGGAAAAAAGAATCATCACACATGTAAGAAATACAATGTCTGTATCATTATTCTAAAAAGTATTTTAAAAAATGCACATTCCCCAACCCCAGAATACTTAACCCCACGGCATATCCCAGCCTGGACAGGGGTCGCAACACATCTATAGGTCCACCAACAAGCCTCAAACACCAGCCTCACGGAGTGACAGACCCCCCCCCTTCCTGTACACACCCCAGACGGAGACTCACAAACACACACCACCTCCTATCTGGGACACTAAACACAGCACACACACAACACGTCACATAAACCAAACGTAACACACGTGAAACCACGGTAAACTTTTACGCGATGTAATATAGTTCACCTCACTCCAGGAGTTACACCCTGGAGCCCCCTTCCCACTAAATACAGAGTCAAACGAAAGCGATTATAAACAGCAGTGGCAACCAGAACCACCGCACAATCAGGCACACCACTAGGTCATAGCTCAAACATCTTGCCAGCTACAGACAAAGTAAGCTACAAACAGGAACTCTGTGTACCTGACCTTCTACCCAAGCCCCCCCTCATTTGTGTACCCTACCCCGGCTAATATGAACAAGCAACGACGAAGAAACTCTATAAAAATAAGACCAGGAAGGCTACTGTGCCAGGCACACATGAGGTACAATGTTAACAGCAGACTCAACCTTGTTTTGATAACTGCCTTTGATGTACAACATGACGGTCACATTAATCCATGTCAATGTATGATACTCTGTCATAACAATAATCAAAAGGACGACTGGTCCTAAAACTCTTTTACCCTCCTTCCCCCACCCCTTCTTCCTTTCTGTACCCCTATAACCCCCCCTTTTTTTTTCTTTTTTTTTTGACTTGAAAACAATAAAAATCTTGAATTTCAAAAAAAAAAATGCACATTCCTAGCTTTTTAGCACGACATATGACACAAACATTTTGTACTTTGCAGATTACTTTTTATATTTTTTTATACATATACAGATTGTGTAATACTGCCCCTGACTTAGGGTGACCACATTTACGAACTGCCATTCAGTGACACTTTCAGAAGTGCATTCCATACACTTTCTCTACCCTTTCCATTTATATTAGAACCCCACCTACCCCTTCCATTCATATTAGTACTCCCCCACTAACCCCTTCCAATTATTGTTCTATCTTCCCCCTCCTCCAATCCATATTAGTATTCCCCTAACCCCTTCCAATAATTTTTCTACCTCCCCCTTCCTCCCATCCATATTAGAAGCCCCCCTAACCGCTTACATTAATTTTTCTACCTCCCCCCTTTTTTTTCTTTTTCTTTTCTCCCCCCTACAAACTGTCCCCCCTTTACCTGACATAGCAGGGGGACCTCTGTACGTCCAGCGGGCGCAGTGTGTTCCCCTTCCCAGTCTGCAGTGCGTGTGGTTCCCTGATGGAGCCGCATGCAGTCTGAGGACACCCACGGCCGTCGGAGCTGGGGGGATTTTTCTATAACCTGTCCCCGCATGATTTGCTGGGGGGGATGCGTTTCCCCCCCCATCCCGCCGGTTCCTAGGCCCATGTACACGGCCATCACTACACAGCAGTGCTTATCTCGAAGAGGCAATGTTTCTCTGATCAATTCTTGTGGTGATGGCGCATGCACGCTTTGTCCTCAATGCTTCTCTGTGAAAAATATGTGGTTGTATAAAGCCCTGCATCAACAAGGAGGTTCCTACTGGGCAAAAATGAGGATGGGTCTTCATTACTGCAGAAGTCAGATCTGCAGCTAATAGGATCAGTTTGTTTACTGCTTTTTGTCTATGCATATTTTTAATAAATTATGCATAGACCGATAGCGGTAAACTAACTGATCCTATATTAGCTGCAGATCTAACTTTAAAGCAGACTTAAAAAATTTTTTTTAACAAAAATGAAAAGTACATAAACACGTGTTTAACTGTATTCTATACAAAATCGAGGCCTGTGTGTTTCCTTACAGGACCAACACCCCACGGAAAGATGGTGGTCTGGGTGCCATGAAAATCCCCCTCGTGTCAGATACACTACGCACAATCTCCACGGATTATGGTGTTCTCAAGGAAGACGAAGGCATTTCCTATCGGTAACCATTCTCTTCCTGTTTCACAGTTTGATGGTTTTGAGTCATTTTTAGAAACTGCCAATATTAAAGATGGAGTAGAGGTAAGGTTTGTCACAAGGTGTCAGGTCTTTTTAGCAAAAAACCCCAACCTTTTTAAATTAGAAAGTCCATAAAGATACAGGTTCTTCAGATATCAGAAGAGACAGTTTCCACAAGTAAATTGGAATAATCGTTTGACACCGTAAAATCTTAACATTTTATAAAACAAAACTGAATATGGGTAAGCAAACAAATGTTTCCCATCATTAATCTCTTTATAAAATGATATCCAATAATTTGTAATCTAACTTCGCCCCTTGCTCCCTAAAACTAGCAGTAAAAAAGAAAGGAAAGCTAAAATAAAGATAGCAATTTAAATGTAGCAATTGCTACCTCGAAAATCATTTAAAGTTATAGAGGAAATATTGTATTTTACTCTTAAAGGAACACTTTCTTTAATGCCATTTAAGTTCTATTGGGTTAGGCCTATGTGGGTGCCTTCCTATTTCCAATGGTTAAACTGTTTTGCCTAAGTTTAACAGCCAAAGATAGACTCTCTCAGCTTGTCACTTTCTGCCCAGCTTAACCTTCCTCATACTAAAACACAGAGGAAGGATCCAGGAGGCCTCTGTCTCAGCTGCTGGAGCCCTAAGGTCAGGCTTAAACTGTTGCAAAATGGTTTAACTCCTGAATGTCGGAAGACACTCCGACTCCTGCTTTCTTAACAACGTAAATAAGATTAAATATAGTCACCAAAACAACTTTAGCTTAAAGGAAAACTCTAGGTTCAGGAATATGTGGCCTCTACAAGGCCCCCTTAAATGGGATAAAAACTCACCTTTATTCCAGGGCTGCACATGTTCGCCAGCGCTCGCCCCGTCTTTGATGTGCCTCATTGGCTGACATCATCAGAATTGATCATCTCAGCAAGTCAAACAGCCTGCATGAAAATAACGTTTCATTTTCAATCAGATCTTTACATACTTTAACAGATTGTATCTGCTGTAATTAACAGAGCAAGAGGCAAGAGATTCTATATTAAACATAATGTGCAATAAAGGAAGATAAAACATTAGTTCTATCTTTACAGAAAGTGTTTAGAAAGGCTGTGTAAGTTACAGCCAGTGGCGTACATACCGGGGTCGCGGCTGCGACCGGGCCCGGCCCACCAGGGGGCCCGGCCGCCCCTGCGACCCGGTATGTATGCCACTGTGGCCAGCCTCTTCTCCTGGGGGGCCCAGGAGCCGGCCATCTCAGGGCCCCACGAGGCTGGCCCTGCTGTCACCGGGCGGCCGGTCTTGCGGGCGCGCGAGGAAGCACTCTCCCCTGTGTGCTTCCTCTTCAGCTCCCTCGCACACCGCACTGAAACCGGAGCCGGAAGATGACGTCATCTTCCGGATCTGGCATCAGTACGCGGCGCGCGAGGGAGCTCAAGAGGAAGCACTCAGGGGAGAGTACTCCCTCGTGTGCCCGCCGGGTGACACCACTAGACCCCAGGGAATCCCCTCAGCACTCCAAAAGTTAAGGAGTCTGGGGGGATTAAAGATAAAAAAAAACAAGTGTGTGTCTGAGTGTTTGTGAGTGTTTGTCAGTGAGTATGTCTGTCGCTGTGCGTGTCTGTTAGCTAGTATGTGTGTCTGTTCGTGACTGTGTGTGTGTGTATCTTCAGCACTTGCCTTTCTCCAGTGCCGGACTCCCTTGGCGCTGGGGATCCCTCCGCCTCTCAGCTCCAAATGCGCATGCCCGGCAAGAGCCACGCGCGCAATCAAACCACCCATAGGAAAGCATTACTCAATGCTTTCCTATGGACGTTCAGTGTCTTCTCACTGTGATTTTCACAGTGAGAATCGCAGAAGCTCCTCTAGCAGATGTCAATGAGACAGCCACTAGAGGCTGAATTAACACTCAGTGAAACCTAGCGGTTTCTCTGAAACTGCTATGTTTTCAGCTGCAGGGTTAAAACTAGAGGGATCTGGCACCCAGACCACTTCATTGAGCTGATGTGATCTGGGTGTCTGTAGTGGTCCTTTAAGTGTGTGCATCTGCATGCACTAGCGTACATGCAGGGGTCGCAGCCCTGCAACCTCCGCGACCAGGTGCCCGCCGCCATGTGTTGCGGCCCCGGCCTGCGCAGGGGGTGGCCTCCACGGATCATTTTTCGCACCGGGGCCCCATGGGTCATGTGTACGCCACTGGTTACAGCCAAGGGAGGTATGACTAGGGCATTATTAACAAAATGATTTAACTCCTAAATGGCAAACAATTCAGCAGAGGCATGATCTATACACCAAAACTGCTTAATTAAGTTAAAGTTGTTTTGGAGACTGTAGTTTCCTTTTAAGTTATTAAGGCGGTAGAAGTGTTCCTTTAATTTAAAAGTACTACATAGTTCAATTGACTATCTGTGTTGCGGACAGGTCTGCTTTAACTTGTCTCTAAAGCCTTTTATTGTATTTATATTTCTTTCTCGTTGTTACAGAGGTCTATTTATAATTGATAGCAATGGAATCCTGAGACAGATCACCATTAATGACCTGCCCGTTGGCCGTTCTGTGGATGAAACTCTGAGGCTTGTACAAGCATTCCAGCATACAGACAAATATGGGGAAGGTGGGTTTTGTGTTCTGACAAATGATGAACATTGTCTTCAAAGTCAATCTATCGGGAAATGGTGGGTGGATGAAAACCATACGAAAATTAGTGTCTGTATGTGTCTGGTGTAAAGCTGGGAAGGGGAAGGCTGTCATGCCCACAACGCCAACTGCATCACTGCTGACCCGTGTGGCTGTAAAGATAATGTATTGTGCAGATACTCTTACACACATACTGGGTAGAGGGCTGAGCAAGGTGGCCAGCGAGAGCTGTCTGTACATGGAGAACTGCTAAATCACAAGTATTTGGAACAAATGCCTCATTTAACCTCTTCACTACCAACCACAAACTAGGTCGGAAATGTTGGTATAAAAAGGAAAATTATTTTTATTTTTTTTCCTCTTGCACAAAGGGGTGTGACAAAAAAAGTTTAATACCATGCTTGTAGGTATTTTTAAGGACCCTGATGGAATGGCTAGCAGCTCACTAAAAGTGGCATCAAAGTGGTTCCACACATAGTAATTACAGCAAATATATACTTTTCTAACATAAAGGTATTTAAACAGGCCTATACAGTTAGGGGGGAAGTATTTGATCCCCTGATGATTTTGAACGTTTGCCAACTGACAAAGAAATGATCAGTCTATAATTTTAATGGTAGGTGTATTTTAACAGTAAGACAGAATAACAAAAATAAATCCAAAAAAAAGTATGTCAAAAAAGTTATAAATTGATTTGCATGTCAATGAGTGAAATAAGTATTTGACCCCTTCAATTTAGTACTTGGTAGCAAAACCATTTTTGGCAATCAGAGGTCAGAAGTTTCTTGTAGCTGGCCACCAGGTTTGCACACATCTCAGGAGGGATTTTGGCCCGCTCCTCTTTGCAGATCCTCTCCAAGTCATTAAGGTTTCGAGGCTGATGTTTGGCAACTCGAACGTCAGCTCCCTCCACAGATTTTCTATGGGATTAAGGTAGAGACTGGCTAGGCCACTCCAGGACCTTAATGTGCTTCTTCTTGAGCCACTCCTTTGTTGCCTTGGCTGTGTTTTGGGTCATTGTCATGCTGGAATACCCTTCCACAACCCATTTTCAATACCCTGGCTGAGGGAAGGAGGTTCTCCTCCAAGATTTTACAGTACATGGCCCCATCCATCGTCCGTTTGATGTAGTGCAGTTGTCCTGTCCCCTTAGCAGAAAAACGCCTCCAAAGCATAATGTTTCCACCTCCATGTCTGATAGTGTTCTTGGGGTTATAGGCAGCATTCCTCCTCCAAACACAGCGAGTTGAGTTGATGAAAGAGCTTTATTTTGGTCTCATCTGACCACAGCACTTTCACCCAGTTCTCCTCTGAATCATTCAGATGTTCATTGGCAAACTTCAGATGGGCCTGTACATGTACTTTTATTGAGCAGGGGGACCTTGCAGGCGCTGCAGGATTTCAGTCCTTCACAGCGTAGTGTTACCAATTGTTTTCTTAGTGGCTATGGTCCCAGCTGCGTTGAGATAATTAACAAGGTCTTGTAGCCCATTCCAGCCTTGTGTAGGTCTACAATCTTGTCCCTGACATGCTTGGACAGCTCTTTGGTCTTGGCCATGGTGGAGAGTTTGGAATCTGATTGCTTCTGTGGACAGGTGTCTTTTATTCGTGTAATGAGCTGAGATTAGGAGCACTCCCTTTTTTTTTTGTTTGTTATTCTGTCTCTCACTGTTAAAATACATCTATCATTAAAATTATAGACTGATCATTTCTTTGTCAGTGGACAAACGTTTAAAATCAGCAGGGGATCAAATACTTTTTTCCCCTAACTGTAGAACTCTTTATCGGTCTCAGTAATGCTAACCCCCCTCTCCTCCCCCCCCCCCAACTGTAGCAGTGGTATAACCCATTGAAATACTTTATATTTTACCGTTTGAAGGAAGTGGGGTATGTTATTTTCAGAATGTTTGCAGACATTAACGGAGTGGAATGGTGGCTGATGATTTCTTTAGTATAAATGAAAGTAAAAATGTGTATACACTATTTTAGAAGTGAATGGGTTAATGACATTTGCTATCCTTTATAGGGACTTTCAACTTCGGTAAATTATTTTATTAAAGCGGTCTGGGGTTTCTAGAGCAAAATCTCAATGAAGTCATGTACCATAAACGATCCATATATTATGGGAAGATAAAAATTGAATCCTTTAGACTCATAGTTTCTAATATCTCCAGAACCCCTGGATTATTATTATTATTATTATTATTGTATTTATATAGCGCCATCAAATTCCGCAGCGCTTTACAATGGGTGGACGAACAGACATGTAGTTGTAACCAGACAAGTTGGACACACAGGAACAGAGGGGTTGAGGGCCCTGCTCAATGAGCTTACATGCTAGAGGTAGTGGGGTAAAATGACACAAAAAGGTAAGGATAGTATTAGACTAGTGACAGTTGCAGAAGAGGAATTATTTTCCTGTAATATCAAGCTTACAGCTTGTGTTGAAATTAAAGTTGCTAAAATTTCATTTATATATTTTGTGCTCGTAGAATTTCTAGCAATTTTTTATTTTGAGCGTTTTGATTTTATTACAGCCAATTAATACTAGTGGAGATAGTAAATTAGAATTTTCCATTGCATGTCATAGCATCTATAGACTTTTGGCCTTATAATAACTATAATAGGATGAAGACGTAGTTTGCAGATTGCAGGTGTGGGGTCTGACACAGGATTTCCTGTGACAAACCGGCAGTGTGTGTTTATGATTTCAGATACCCCTCTGTGTGGTGAATTGCCAATTGAAACTATTGAAAAACCTCCCAAAGTGGTAAATTCTGTGGTTGAGAGTTCTCATTTTGTATTTTAATTTTGCCAGTTACCTAATTCTCCAACAGATTTTGGAGTTCCACATAATTGCCACCAGAGCTACCCATCTCCGTCCTCCAAGCCATTGACCTTTATTTAAATTAAAGGATTTGTCTAAGCACTTAAACCACTTTCAATTATAGAAGTGATTTTCTGTGCATTGATCACATGCGTCCAGTCTCACTAGTCTACTTGTTTAGGTGTTAAATCACTTTTTTCTGCAGCCCTACCCGTGGCTCTCGCAGCCTTTTACACACTCCCTGAAATGAAGTGTTAATTCAGAACCTGATGAGTTTACTGAAGACCTCTGTATGTCTTGCTTTAGTATAAAGCAGCCTCATGTGAGGTATGACAGCCTTGATTCAGTATTTTTGGATGAGCTTTTCAAATGATTTAATATTTTTTGATATGTTTATATAGTGTATGGTGTGTTTTTTTGTTTTTTTTTTAATATTGAAATATTTTGAAAAACATTTGAAAAACTTTTTTCAAAAATATTAAGTCACGTTAAATACTTTAACAAAAATATTAAATGGAATCCAAAGATAGAGAGGAGAAATCAAAACATTAAAATCTTCATTCTTGGTGAAGCACATTTTTGAACCTATTCCACCACAATGTGTTTTATTTGTATAAAGTGTAACAGATCCAGTATTTGATAATGAGATAAAGATATTTATCTCAGAATCTTCACTTGCCCGCTTCCCATTGGCAAGTTAAGAAAAAATTCAACCCTTACGGTACAAAATCACCTGTGGAGAGTGTGCCATGGACCTCCCAGGCATGTCGTGGTGTGGATTTTGTATTTGATTTAATTGGACACTTCCCAGCAGGACAAAAAGGGTTTGATTCAACTTTGCTGCAGAACTAAACAGAAGAGGTAGCATATTAGTGATGTAAGAAAAGCTATAAGAAAAGTGGTTTTTTTTTTAAAAAAATATTTGTATGTGCGTTTAAGAACCTATTTTAGTCCATGCTCAAGCTGGAGGGAGTTTTGTCATTTCCCCCAGCAGTCATTAGTAACGGTACTGACTTTAGCATTTTATTGCATGGAAGCATATTGATCTGTGTGCTTGAGGACTGCAATGCGGCAGACGTATTTTGTACCAGATTTATGTTATATATCTGACTCTCCAAGCAGACTGCATATAGAAAAGCTGCAGCTAATTAATTTATTCAATTTTAAATTATCTTAAAGAAACACCAGCCTGGAAATGAACCAACCCCATTTATGGGTCATAAGTTAAAACTGAAAAATTAAAGAATTGGTCTTTTTTTGAGGATTAAAAAAGTTCGGCAGGTAAAACCTACATAGGTTCCCAGGTATTAACCTTGCTCCTGCAAATACCTCCACGATGAGGAAATGTGAGTGCCACTCGCCAGCATGCTCAGTACTACTCCAGTACATTTATATGGGAGCACTAATTGATACAATTACAATCTGTCAATTCAAACTTTGCAGATTTTGTTTTGTTAATTTAAATCCATTTCTAGGCTGCAGTGTCTCTTAGTGTCCTGAAACTCTATAATTTGTCTAAACATTCACAGGGTTTTCACTAAAGTGAGAATTCCAGGTGAATTCAAAGAGGGTTTGAAAATGTAAGTTCAAATTAGCCGAACTGGATAAATTCCACTATGCTTTCAGTTTGGTGTTAAATTTGAAATTCACTTTGAAATCTCATGTTAGTGAATAACTCTGTTAATGTTTTAATGCAGTAATTAACCCTTTTAATTTTATTTTTTTCTCTCTCTAAAGCATGCGTTGTCCTATATTCATTATATAGCAGAGAACACACTGTTGGTGGATTTTAGGCCAAAAACTCTGAATTGGTAAAATTCTCCAAATTGGTTATGTTTTCAGTTTGGCTATTCTGGCTCAAGACTTTAAACAATGTTTGTAATTCCCAGAAATTAACACTTTAATGAACAACTGTTTTGGCATATAGTCAGGGCTATGCACGAAAGTGAGAATTTTTGGTAATTCAATTTCAACAGCATAGTTGCCTTTTAGAGTTTTTCCAGTTTGGCTATTTTGGACCGAAATTTGAAGTCATTTTAGTGAAAACCCTGATAGTCGTGTTCTCTACTTGTTGAATCTAGGACTGTTTTGTAAATGGTGCACGGTACTCTAGTGACATCTACTGTTGTATATTGTAAGTGCAATGTTCATATTGGGAATATAAAACTGCTCTTTCTTGCAAACATGGATTTAGTTATTTAAATGTGTCTCTATTTTAGTCTGCCCAGCCGGTTGGAAACCTGGGAACGACACAATCAAGCCAGACATCAAAGAAAGCAAAGAATATTTCTCCAAGCAAAAATAAAAGCCGAAAATGTTTGCAGTCTTAACTAGTTCTCACCTCGCCTGTCTATCTAGTGTTTAGGGGGAAGAAAAGGGTATTGGTGATCCATTTTCCCAAAACCAAGTGTTAGTTGTGCAAGTATTGCTGCTTAAAGATGGTCCCTTCTAACTGTGTGCTAGGGGTTGACGCACCCTGATGACCTTCAGTAAGATAGAAGTGATACTGATTATTATTTTTATTTTATTTTAGTTGTTACTAAATTTTGGGCATTGCTGCACAAGGGCACCCTTTTTTGTGTAGGAACATTCCTCATGACCTTTCCTACTTTTTCGAGTTTTGTAAAAATTAAAGTTCTAAGTGGTATAGAACATATTGTTAGTGTTGTTTTTTATATGCTAATACACCAAGTAAGAGAGTGGAAGATGCATGGCTATACAGTACACAATACTATGCAATAACAATATCTATCATGCAGACTGCAGTATATTGCCTCACCGCAACTGGCCTTAGGACTTCAAGTGCAAAATTTAGGAGTGATCACTCCAACATTTCTTAATTATGAATTACAAAAAAGGAATGTGACTAAAACATGCGAGTCAATCCTAGTCCTTAAGGTGACAACCAACAGCTTGCTCACATAAATCCCCTCACCATGCACACCTTTTATCTTGTCACTGTCCCCATGTGTCTCCCATCGTTTATTCTCCCCACTAATTGTAGCATTGTCAAGCAGAACTGTCACTTGTGAGATTTATTCATACACTGATACTACTAAACATTAGCGATGAGATGTACCTAATGTACACAGACTGATTTCTAAACACGTTTATTGTAATTTAAAGGAACACTATAGTGTCAGGAAAACAAATCTGTATCCCTGACTTTAGTTTTAAGCTGTTTAGGTTTCTGGGCCCCCTTGCCTGCATTTAAAAACTTAATTCTATTCCCCTTATTTCCAGGGCCTGCCTATTTGGCTGAGATCATCAGATTTGACTATCTCCGCAAATCCCTTAAAGGGACACTATAGTCACCCAGACCACTTCAGCTCAATGAAGTGGTCTGGGGGCTGGGTCCCCATCGTTTTAACCCTTCAAATGTAAACATAGTTTCAGAGAAACTGCTATGTTTACATTGCAGGGCTAATCCAGCCTCAAGTGGCTGTCTTTCTGACCGCCGCTGGAGGCGCTTCTGTGATGCTGAATGCGAAAATCACATCCAGCGTGCAGAACATCCATAGGAAAGCATTGACACATTACTGGGAGTATTATTGCTGTGGAGCTCTGTTATACATTCAGACACATTACTGGGAGTATTATTGCTGTGAAGCTCTGTTATACACTCAGACACATTACTTGGGAGTATTATTGCTGTGGAGCTTTGTTATACATTCAGACACATTACTGGGAGTAGTATTGCTGTGGAGCTCTGTTATACACTCAGACACGTTACTGGGAGCAGTGGCGTACACATGACCCATGGGGCCCCGGTGCGAAAATTGATCCGTGGCTCTGCTATGTTTCACTGAGGGTTAATCCAGCCTCTAGTGGCTGTCTCACTGACAGCCGCTAGAGGAGCACACTGAACGTCCATAGGAAAGCATTGAGTAATGCTTTCCTATGGGTGGTTTGAATGCGTGCGCGGTCTCATTCGGAGCTGAGAGGCTGAGGGATCCCCAGCGCCAAGGGAGTCCGGCGCTGGAGAAAGGTAAGTGCTGAAGACACACACACACACACTCTCACTTACAGACGCATACACACTAGCTAACAGAGACACACTCAGCAACAGACATACATACACTCTCATCGACAAACACACACTCACTAACAGACATCAAACAGACTCACTAAGACACACACACTAACACTCACACTCACTCTAACACTCACACACACACTCAAACACTGACACTCACACTCACTCAAACACTCACACGTTTTTTTGTTTTTTTAAATATAATCCCCCCAGCCTCCTTACCTTTTATAGTGCTGGGGGGATTCCCTGGGGTCCAGTGGTGGTGCTGCTGGGCTCCTGGGCAGGTGGCCAGTCGGGCAGGCAGGCGGGCGCGCGAGGGAGCACTCAGTGATTCCTCTTCAGCTCCCTTGCGCGCCGCGTAGGGATGCCGGCGCCAGAAGATGACGTCATCTTCCGGCTCCGGCATTAGTGCGGTGCGCGAGGGAGCTGAAGAGGAAGCACTGAGTACTCCCTCGCGCGCCCGCCTGCCTGCCCGGCCACCCGCCCAGGAGTGTGTGTGTGTGTGTGACAGCAGGGCCAGCCTCGGTGGGCCCTGGGGTGGCCGGCTCCTGGGCCCCCAAGGGGAAGAGGCTGGCCCTGTGGGTACATGCAGGGGCGGCCGGGCCCGGTCGCAGCCGCGACCCCTGCGACCCTGGTGTGTACGCCACTGACTGGGAGTATTATTGCTGTGGAGCTGTTATACACTCAGACACATTACTGGGAGTATTATTGCTGTGGGGCTCTGTTATACACTCAGACACATTACTGGGAGTATTATTGCTGTGGAGCTCTGTTATACACTCAGACATATTACTGGGAGTATTATTGCTGTGGAGCTCTGTTATACAGACACATTACTGGGAGTATTATTGCTGTGGAGCTCTGTTATACACTCAGACACATTACTGGGAGTATTATTGCTGTGGAGCTCTGTTATACACTCAGACACATTACTGGGAGTATTATTGCTGTGGAGCTCTGTTATACACTCAGACACATTACTGGGAGTATTATTGCTGTGGAGCTCTGTTATACACTCAGACACATTACTGGGAGTATTATTGCTGTGGGCTCTGTTATACACTCAGACACATTACTGGGAGTATTATTACTGTGGAGCTCTGTTATACACTCAGACACATTACTGGGAGTATTATTGCTGTGGAGCTCTGTTATACACTCAGACATATTACTGGGAGTATTATTGCTGTGGAGCTCTGTTATACAGACACATTACTGGGAGTATTATTGCTGTGGAGCTCTGTTATACACTCAGACACATTACTGGGAGTATTATTGCTGTGGAGCTCTGTTATACATTCAGACACATTACTGGGGTATTATTGCTGTGGAGCTCTGTTATACACTCAGACACATTACTGGGAGTATTATTGCGGTGGAGCTCTGTTATACGCTCAGACACATTACTGGGAGTATTATTGCGGTGGAGCTCTGTTATACGCTCAGACACATTACTGGGAGTATTATTGCGGTGGAGCTCTGTAATACACTCCGTCACATTACTGGGAGTATTATTGCTGTGGAGCTCTGTTATACACTCACACATTACTGGGAGTATTATTGCTGTGGAGCTCTGTTATACACTCAGACACATTACTGGGAGTATTATTGCTGTGGAGCTCTGTTATACACTCAGACACATTACTGGGAGTATTATTGCTGTGGAGCTCTGTTATACACTCAGACACATTACTGGGAGTATTATTGCTGTGGAGCTCTGTTATACACTCAGACACATTACTGGGAGTATTATTGCTGTGGAGCTCTGTTATACACTCAGACACATTACTGGGAGTATTATTACTGTGGAGCTCTGTTATACACTCAGACACATTACTGGGAGTATTATTGCTGTGGGGCTCTGGTATACACTCAGACACATTACTGGGAGTATTATTGCTGTGGAGCTCTGTTATACACTCAGACACATTACTGGGAGTATTATTGCTGTGGAGCTCTGTTATACACTCAGACACATTACTGGGAGTATTATTGCTGTGGGGCTCTGTTATACACTCAGACACATTACTGGGAGTATTATTGCTGTGGAGCTCTGTTATACACTCAGACACATTACTGGGAGTATTATTGCTGTGGAGCTCTGTTATACACTCAGACACATTACTGGGAGTATTATTACTGTGGAGCTCTGTTATACACACAGACACATTACTGGGAGTATTATTGCTGTGGAGCTCTGTTATACACTCAGACACATTACTGGGAGTATTATTGCTGTGGAGCTCTGTTATACACTCAGACACATTACTGGGAGTATTATTGCTGTGGGGCTCTGGTATACACTCAGACACATTACTGGGAGTATTATTGCTGTGGAGCTCTGTTATACACTCAGACACATTACTGGGAGTATTATTACTGTGGGCTCTGTTATACACTCAGACACATTGTTGGGAGTATTATTGCTGTGGGCTCTGTTATACACTCAGACACATTACTGGGAGTATTATTGCTGTGGAGCTCTGTTATACACTCAGACACATTACTGGGAGTATTATTGCTGTGGAGCTCTGTTATACACTCGGACACATTACTGGGAGTATTATTGCTGTGGAGCTCTGTTATACACTCAGTCACATTACTGGGAGTATTATTGCTGTGGAGCTCTGTTATACACTCAGACACATTACTGGGAGTATTATTGCTGTGGAGCTCTGTTATACACTCAGACACATTACTGGGAGTATTATTGCTGTGGAGCTCTGTTATACACTCAGACACATTACTGGGAGTATTATTGCTGTGGAGCTCTGTTATACACTCAGACACATTACTGGGAGTATTATTGCTGTGGAGCTCTGTTATACACTCAGACACATTACTGGGAGTATTATTACTGTGGAGCTCTGTTATACACCCAGACACATTACTGGGAGTATTATTGCTGTGGAGCTCTGTTATACACTCAGACACATTACTGGGAGTATTATTGCTGTGGGGCTCTGTTATATACTCAGACACACCAGCGATAAAGAGCTCCTAGAAAGGGGGTATTGGACCAAAATAGGGACTTTTCCTGCTAAATATGGACACTTTGGCGGTATGGTGTACATACTTTATAAATAGTGTATTATAGATCAAATTCAGTTGAAACCCCTTTATCACTCTCTCCATCAGGCTGCTCCATGATGGAAAATGATTTATTATTATTATTATTCCTGGTGAACATTACTCATGGATTCCTTTTGAGCCCCAGCCCAGTGATTAATAATAATATATTAGACTCTCTATCTCTCTAAACAAAGTACTGTTACTGTAATAGGAGTTATTTTTATAAACTGCGAGTTGGGTAGAGCTACACCCTCCAGTAATAATAATAATTATAATTTCCAGGCTGCCTAATTTATCCCAACTGTTACAATGTCCTCCTGAATCCCCCTCGCAGTTACATGAGGTAAATACAGTATGAGAGAACAGACTGCGTGAGATGGCTGGCTGAGGGCACTGGTAGAAGGAGTCTGGCATTTAGTAAACCAAGGCCTGAGGGTAAACCAGCTGAATGATAAACAGCGCGACGAGTTTACAACATGGCGGCTCAGTGCTGGGTGAGGGCGCATTTTGGCGCGTTTCTTTTCGCGGCTGCTGATTGGCTGGGATGCGTTTCACTATCTTTCTTTACGATTGGCTGAGGTGTCTGTCTGTCTTTATTTTATTTTATTATTTTTCCCTCCCCGCGGCTGCTGATTGGCTAAGAGG